ACTTACACATTAGCTTATATATACTTCTTATGTATACTTAGTACCTTACGTATACTTATACATTATATATATTTAGCACTTTATGCAAACTTCTATACCTTATGTATATTTAGTACTTTATGTATACTTACACATTATACCTTATGAATATTAAACAGGAACATCATTAATTCTTGGGTGACCATTATGAAACCAGCCAACTGATAAGCCAGAACAAAGATCAAAGTACTACAAAACTAGTAAGATTCCTTGGAAATCTTTACATGTATAAATTCTACATTTCACTAAAACAGATATAATTTTTATGTTCTTCAGATGTTTCCATGATAAAACTGACATTAGAAAATATTTTGTTAAATAACACCTACTCTTGGTTAATAGACACAATATATTTACACACATATTACACATAAATTATGCTAAACTATGTCAAGAAGTTGTCATCTAAAATAAAGATGTCTTTCCAATGGTTTGTAAAATTACTTCTGTTATTTAAAAAAAAAATCAAGTTTTTTTAAGTTCTAATTTAAAGAGTAAAAAACTAGGTAAATTCTACTAAGGGTAAAATTAAATAGTATAGTTCTCTTGATTCTACCCCATGTGGTACACCAGTGACTACTTTGCTAGACTAAGAAAGATGTTCGAAAAAATAGCATTGCTTGAATATTGAGAATATTACTGTTCAAATTGTCAAAAGGCAAGCAAACAAAATCATTCAAATCAAGTACTAAAATTGGGAAATGGAGCACATAATGGTCTAAAAAATAAATGCTGAAACTTTTCAGATAAGTATCCTTCTTGGTGGATTATTTAAACTCTTACAAAAATCTCTTATTGATGCAACTAAAAGTTAAGATTTGGCTCTGGAGACCATACAGCAAGACCTTGTTCAGTGGTCCATATGTGAGTGTCTCGACACTATGACCAGTAGGAGGAAGAATCAAGGGAAAAGGGAGGAATCAAGAATGATTGTTGCATTTCTAGCCTCAGTAGAGTTGCTGGCTTGGGTAATTGTGATATGTTGATGCTAGAAAATGTTGGAGAAAACAGATTTGGTGACCAAGAGATGGGGAAAAGATGGTTTCAGCTTTAGATCATGACCTTGTTATGCAGGCAAGAAATTGGTATACAGAGTTTCTGGAAGAAGCTGAACATATTTGGAGTTTCAGAAATTCAAGTCTAGAGACATGAACTTGTGTGTCCTGGGGACATAGAGGGGACTACCCCTTGTGGTTTCATTTGCCCTCAAAAGTTTCGTAAAAGTTGTCCAACTTGGTAGAAATGAAAATATGAATATTTAAAGAAGGCAACACATAATTCCACTTAATCCTTCTAATTTATAAAATCAAGAAAAAAGTAATATGAGGGTTTTCATCTGCTCAAATGACTTCTAGTGGCTTTCATTGCAAATTTTCTAGACTAGATAACTTATGTTTCAACTGTTCAACACAAATTCTCACATGTTTTCTACTTGTCTATTTGGTATTCCAGGCCCTTCTTTATGTATTTTTAGTTGCCAGTCAAATGTACCTCATTCTGGAGATAATTGAATCAGATAAAAAGCAGTTAAAATCATAGGAATAATATGTACATAGGACTTAGAGTGCTATTCTTGATATTTTTGCTAACATTTGCTTCCCTAACATCTACATGATCTCCCACTTCCCTATCAGTCACCATCTCTTATGTATCTTTTTGTCAAAGCAATCAATAGATACTTGCTGAAAAATGAATGGAAAGTTGGGAGAAAGAAGTAGCATGAATTTTCTTATTATATAATGTTTGTTATGCTGTATGTCATATGCCTTTTTGAACATTAACTCTTAAATAGCTTTCATGGGCTATATATTCATCAGTTATTTGAGAACAGGTCTCATCTTCTACTACGTTGTATAATTTGTACTGTTCCCATTCATTTTGTCTCCTCATGGTGCCAGTCACACAAAAGCAAACAACATTTGTCTAAGTAACACACTTCAGCCTTTTAAGTTACATAGCATATCATGATGTGCTATAGTAATAAAAGTGCTGAGGATATTTAAGTTCAGCTTTAAGGAGCAGTTATGTGAAAGAGATTTGCCAAAGATGTCTTTATAGCGAGCACTTTTCCTAAAATAATGAAAATACTATTTGGTTTTAAAAAGTATCGTTCATTTACATTTCAATAATATAGTCATTATGTAAAGGGAAGTACAATTATATTAAATGTCAGCCTTAGCAGGACCCAGGTAGGTTTTTGACTAGGACAAAGATGGAAAATTAGCAACTAGAAGCAACTTTATCCAAGATTTTGACTGGTCATATTTACTGTTCATAAACTCATTCAGGGGTTCTATTTTGTAAACTTTTTTCCATGCTAAATAGAAAACATTTAGAGTTTCACTTCTGGGTTGTTGCAGTCAACGGCTGAGGCAGGTCTTGTTTTGAGTCTTTTTCCACTTACACTTAACTCTCCTTTGCACCTAGAAGTCATTGTTTTTCCAACTAAGAGTAAAAAATGCATTTACTTACTATAATGAATTATAATTGGTACTAACAACATATTTCACGCATATTCATTTTGCAGTAGTGTTTTTTAATATTTGGGAAAATGGCAAGACTCGGGCCATGGTTAAAATCAAAATCTGATAGGTGGCATTTCATTTTTATGGGGTAGACAATTACTTCCGTATCATACATCACATGCTTCAAGATTTCCTAGCCAATGAGCGTAAAAAGGGACAGAATGATCTAGATCTATTGGTCAAATAATAAAGCTTTCCTCTCAAAATGATGTCTGCATTGGAAACTTTCTATAAATTTCTCTATATATCAGGCTCAATAATATCATTATTAGGACAATATATGAAGCCAAGAATTGCATGAGGAATCAAGAGATCTCAATTACCCACAAGTTCTGCCATGGGCTCACAAAGTTCGTGGTTTTGGTGAAGTCACTGATTTTCCTGTATTATGTAACTGATTTAAGCTCTCATAGTTATTGTTGGGCACACAAGTCCTCTGGAAATACCTAGTGTACTTTATTGCTTGTATTTCCATATTTATACTTTTAAGTTTTTTTTTTTTAATACCTGTGATGACTAACAGCTATATAGTTTCAGTTGCTCAACCAGTTTTGCTGCCTTTAAAAGTATCCCGGAACAGGGTAAGGTTGTCTCAACTCTTATTCGTTTCTTTTTGTCAAAATTCTAATATTGAACATCAGGTTATACTTCATACTACTTTTAATTTTAGAAGTCAGCATTCACTATCATTCTATTTCCCTATTATGTATTCTGTTTCTCCCTTAGGTATTAACATAATTAGATATTAGAATCCTTCAGTTATTTAACAAATCCTTGACTTATCCAGATGTGTTACTTACCCCTGTAGGCTCACAATTTAAGAATGCCGAAGGTCATCTGATCCTTGTTATAGACATATAACATTTCATGACAAAAATAGGAAAAATTATATCATTATTTTAAAGATGCTTTAGAAAGGAAAAGAACTCAGTATTTAATCTTACATATTTCAATAAAATCTAAAGTTCCTTATTTCATGCCGTATGTTTCACTTGCATTTTTTGAGCATTGTAAATGGTGTGCTAGCATAGTTTATAAGTAAACCAAATACATTCACTCGATTTGTGTCACAGGTAGTATTACTGTTAAAATACATGCACCAAACCCTAGTTCATATAGCTATGCAGGGAACACATATACTCTTTATTAAAACAAATAAGCAGAAGCACCTTCGTGTTAAAAGAATATTCTCCAAGCATTCTTAGCCACGCATAAAACACATCCTTGAATGAAGCTTCAACAGACAATTTCTAAATATTACTAAGGATTCTTAGTGATTACATAACATCCACAAATTAAACGAGGTGTTTTAGATGCTTTAAGACATAAATTCCTTAGCCAGATTTCGTTATTTTAAATGGCTAAATTAGTCTGCAACATGCCAAAGTTTTATCACATGACTAATAGTTAAATTTTAAAAATCTGTTGCCTTTCAGAACCATACTTTCTTGCCACATTATGCCAAGAGGGTTTAAAAAAAAATTTTTTTTTAATTATAGTTGACATTCAATATTATTATAGTTTCAGGTATACAGCATAGTGATTAGACACATATAATTTAGGACATAATTCTCCAGATAGTCTAGTACCTACCTGGCACTATATACAGTTATTATAGTATTGACTATATTCCCTACGCTGTACTTTACATACCCATAACTGTTTTGTAACTACCAATTTGTAATTTTTAATCCCTTCTGCCTGTCACCCAGTCCCCTAAGCCCCCTCCCATCTGGCAACCATCTCTTTGTTCTCTGCTTCTCTATGGGTCTGTTTTTTGTTTTTTAGATTCTGCATATAAGTGAGATCCTATTGTATTTGTCTTTCTCCGTCAGAATACCCTCTAATTCCATCCTTGTTGCTGATGGTAAGATTTCTTTTTATGGCTGAATATTCCATTGTATGTATATGTGTGTGAATATTCCATTGTATATATATGTGTGTGCATGTATACACACACACACATACATACATACATAATCATCTTTATCTAGTTATCTATTGATGGGCACTTAGGTTGCTTCCATATTGGCTATTGTAAATAGCACTGCAGTGAACATAAGGTTGCATATATTTTTTCAAATTAGTGTTTTGGATTTCTCAGATAAATACCCAAAAGTGTAATTGCTGGGTCATAAGGTAGTTCTATTTTTATTTTGAGGAGCCTCCAAACTGTTTTCCATAGTGGCTGTACCAATTTGCAATCCCATCAATAGTGCACGAGAGTTCCCTTTTCTCTACATCCTCACCAACACTTGTTTGATATATTGATGATAGCAATTCTGACAGGTGTGAGGGGATAGCTCATTGTGGTTTTATAGGGGGGTTTTCACATATGTTGTATCTCTATTGCGCTTTTCACATAGTGCAGTATGTGCTATAGAAGTCATATTAAAGAAACAAGCCCCCCCCAACAACATTAAAAACAATTAACAGTTTATTATAAAAGTGTGCTTTATTATAAGGAAAATTTAAATATAACCAACAATACTGAAAATAATGTAACCGGCATTTACAGCCTTGGTCAGAGTTCCTTATTAAACAGGCATTTTTTGCTATTCCATGAATAGTCAACAATCAGCTTATACAACAAAACAGGTAACTTTAAAAAGTGAATAAAGAATACAGAATGATGAGCCAGAAATTTGGGGTTCCGTGTGTTTTTTCCTGTTTAACAGACATGGCTTTTAAAATAAAAAACAAGTCATCTTCATGTAGTAAGCTCTCTTCCTACAAGAAAGTTTACAAAATTGTTAAACTGTTTTAAAATGTGGCTGAAGTTATACTTTACAGACTTTAACTGTTTATATATACATTATCTAATTAACACATTTTAACATTTTCATTATATAAGACCATAAACATCCTCTAATGAGACCACAGTAGCAACAGAATAATTTTACCCATGTATATATTTCTTTAAAACATGTTTCCCAAAATGGAATTGCTCATTTAAAAGTGAACTGGTTAGAATTAATTTCTCTAGACATTGGGATCATGTAGGCTAGAAATTATGTCAAACTATATTGCTTTGGTCGAATAAAATTCATGTTATGTGCCGAATAATAAGCATATCTGTTATCAATGAAAACCTATAAAGGTTGAGTTCATTCTGCACTTTTAACTGTGAGTGTACATCAAAGCAAATGGCAATGCCTGAATGGTGTATGTGGAGTAGGCAGAAATTCCTTTTATCTTTGTATATGGTTTTGCTGATAAAAATTTATTTCCTACCACCTTGGAGGAACCCCATGATTCAGATGTCTGAAAGGACTGTATTATGGACACCTAGTGAAGAACAAAGAAATATCCTGTGGGCCTGAAATATCCTGATAAGGCCCCCAAATTATTTTTGGTATAGAAGGTTTTGTTTGTTTGTTTCTTGTTTTTTTTTTTTTTTGGTAGTATAAGATTTTAGGCTTTTTTTTTTTTTTTTGTAGTATGTATAAGATTTTAGAAGACAACAAGTAAATTTAAGTAGCTTTTTAAAAAAAAAAAAACTTTGTGGCATTAAATGTTAAACTCAAAATTTTAAAGATAAAGAGAATTGCACATGAAAAAGGGAGCAGAGATATATGCTTTATGAAGAAAAAGTGTTAATGATCTCTCATCTCAAAAAGACTGTATTACAATGACTAAATTGCCTGCCCTTAAAACCACTGAACTATGTAGTTTACTGACATTATGCCAAAGAAGTCAAAATGTACTTTATTGCAAAAAATATAAAAGGTTTTAAAATTGCATATGATGTTTTATACCATTTCATCAATAGGCCAAGGTCAGCACATAACTTATCAAGCCAGAAAAACTTTAAAACAAAAATAATTAAAATTGTACTTACTATATATATGAGTTGTAAAAAGAATGTGATGCCATGCTGTTTAGCATGATTCATTGCCAGGTTCCCTCTTACATGGGTATAGTCACTAACATATCAATCTGAGTAAGTCAGAACAAATACATATTACCTATGATAACATCCTTATCTTCTTAAACACAGATACTTTCAGTATATTACAATTACTTGAATAAACCTCTCAAATAATTTTGTGGAGTAGAAAATCATTTTATCAGTATGTCAATATTTTTATGATCTACTCTTTAGAAACTGATGTTAAAGCCTATTGTCTATTAAATCACTACTCTGTTTACTGATACATTGTAAATGTAAAAAAAGGAAAAAACCTGAAATCACAGAAAATGCTTGGCATCTACACAAACACATTCTCAGTGGACTAACCACTACTGTGTAATTTTGTCACTATAGGTCTTCTTGCTCCATACTTTTGCTTCATGCAGTAGGTTCAACAATATCCATGTTTGTTCCAAACAGGGCAACTAATTGTTCTTCATAGGTGGTGATGTTCCTTTTCATAATTTCCATGCAAGGTCCCAAAAGCCTTTCAAATGCTTGCACATCCATGGCTAAGAAAAAGGGAGAATAAAAAATAAATAAATAACATTCTTTGAAACTCTGCAAAATTTCTGAGACACTTATGATATCATTCTGCATATGTCAATAATACAATGGTATTTTTAGATTTAAAAAAAGGCATAAAGATAAAAATGTTCCACTTTTCTAAAGGAAGTAGCAAGGGTCTCTTGACAATATGATGTGCAATGCAAGGGTTGGTGGGAGGTTCCTGATTTGGTTGAGAAAAGAATGAGGGATTATCACAGGCAAGACTTTGGAATTTAAAATAATTAATTTTGATGTCACCTGAGTAATACAAACTCCTCAAAGATGGCAACAGAGTGTTTTCTATCCTATTTTTCCACCTCAGGGTTTACAGTGCCACGTTGTAAAGACCAAATGTCGCCTTTTATAATTTTAACTACTGTCTAGTCACTTCAAAATTGCAGCCCAAATAATGCTTTTGTCTACTTCTATAAGTATATATCACATGTCACTTTGCTGGTCTGTCTCATGCAATATTTAAAACAATTTATAATGTGCACATGGAAAATATCATACTACCATAGAAATACAAATTAAAATACGTTGTTTTTTGCCTTTTAAATTTGCAAAGGTAAAAAAGGCAATGGTTATAATAAAGTGAATGGATATTCTCACACTGATGGTAACATATAAATTGGTACAAATAAAAGTTATCTGCCATATATATAACTATAAAAAGAAAATCCACTTCTGAAACCATTTCTAAGAAAAAATCCTATATACGGAAAAGTAGTCTATACACACACCTCAAAAAAAGAAAACCCTTCCCCCCACAAATGGAGCCAAAACTCTCAAAATATGTAGCAGTGGGGAATCATTAAATAATTTATAATGTGTATATTTCTCTAAGAGAATGTTACACTTTGCTGTAAAAAAAAAAAAAAAAAGGAAATGCCTAAACTATAATGAATTTAGAAAACAGTTTACAAAATAGTTTAAAAACAGAAAACTCATGCGAATAAGAAATAATAAGATGTGGCAGTCACTGAGTGGTGGTGATATGGGTGCCTCTTAGTTTTTCTTACTTTTTCTGTATTTCTCAAATTTTCTTTAATGTGAATATAATTTATTATAGAAAAAAATAATGGGGTGTCACATCACCTTTACTATTACTGTCTAATATCTCTACTCAGGGATATTACCTGTCAGTTTCTAACTTGATTAATATTATACTTTAAAACATTTTAAAAAGTGACTTCTCTAAGAAGTTAATTCTGAGGATACTAGCAAATCTTAAGAACACTGAAGCTAAGTTTATTCTACTAAACTGGGGGAAGAGAATAGTGGCTACTTACTGTTGAATCATTTTTTAAAAGAAAATGTCACCTATAGTGACACCACCTGAATTATATTTTTCATTATTAAAGTAAGTTATTTCTTACATATAAAACCTCACATACAGATATTTTCTAGCTGAAGATGGCATTTCTGCTAAGCTACTATATGGTATAAGATGGTAATTAAACAGCTGAACAATAATGAAAATTTTATTGTGCTTTGATAAACCTGAACCTTTGTTTCCCAGCACTAGGATAAGTATTACCACAGACATTTCCACTTTCCGCACAGAGCTTAATGTACTTTATAAAAATATTGTTTTAACCTTTTTTGAGGAACACAACATAGTGCATGTTATTTATCTGAAAGATCAAATATAAACCTCAGTACTCTGTTCTTATTTTAATAATCAAAATAAGATGTAATTTCATGCTTCTGAAAAAGAACACAATGTGTATGTATGTGAAAGTTTTAAAGAAAAAAATGGCTTCCACGAACTGATTTTATAATGCAATGAATCCTAACCTTGTTATATATTGTGGAGCCCATAAAAACCATGAGCCCAGTAAGATAATCCATTACAACACGAATATGTAAAATGCACACATAACAATTTCAACCAGGAGAAGCATTCCCACTATTGAGTCCTACCTAAACATTTGACAGTCCCAATGGCGTGTGCAGACGCTGCTCGAGGTTTGTTAGTTACCAGAGCGAGTTCTCCAAAGTACTGTCCCCGAGAACACCGAGCGATTTCTACTGCACCGTTCTCTTCCACTTCTGATTTACCCTGACAAGGTAATCAAAAGCATCAGCTTTTACTCAGCTTGTTAGAAATAAAAGTTAACCTTAGTCTAAACATCAAAAAGAAAATTTATTATGTTCCTTGCTAACATATGTGGATTTTCAGATTTTACACTCACCTTCCTTTTCATAGTAATTTTCACTTCTCCAGATTCTACAATGAAAAAGGAATCAGCCAAATCTCCCTATGAGAATAAAACAAAAACAGAGGGTGAAATTGCAAATTTAGATGACAACAATCTTGCCTATCATACCCCTGAAGTCAATCCAACCCCAATGCACAGACGATTTGCTTGAAAAGTGAAACCTCATAGGAACTGGCTACCTCTCACTATGGAAAATGAGAGGTTACAACTGATAATTAGAGAGTAATGATTTCATTTGTAAAATTATTTGAAAAAATATACTCTCTACCACAGCATTTCTGCTAAAACTATCCAAGAAAACATGGCAAATAACACTGAGGTAAGAATTTCAACAAACTTCAGCCTGGATAACAGCAGAGATGTAAGAAAAAGCAGCACCATTCCCACAGCACCTTCGGTCAGCAGAAATATGGCAGCTGATGCTGTGCTCCCTGTGTTGTGCTAATATAACAAGCAGTAGCATGGTGGCCCAAGATAAGCTACTGACTCCCGAAAAGGGCACCGCCCAGACTTACTTGGAAACAGTAGATGTGGGTCCTTATGTTTTGATTGCAGTTAGCTAGGGGACCAAACTCTGAGATGCCAGTTTACTGACAATCCACCTCAAGGCCTTCTAAAAAGACTTCTAAAAAGTGTTGCCATTTCTGACTACATACTCTTTTTTCTTGGTGGAATAAACTCTGCCATGATTTTCAATGATGCCTTCTGAATTAAACAGTATAATCAGAAGATAACAGGTACTGACTTTTTGAGCCTCTCAAAAGTAATTGTGAAGAAACTTAGGTATTTCAAAAGTCTTTAATACAATTCAAGAAATAAAGTATCAGATTACCTCACACAAATAAATGTAGTCTAGATTTATGTAATATAGTGTAGACATATGTCTATAAATGCTTAAAAGATAACTAATATCTCAAAATATCTCTAATAAACTGTAGTATATATATCACCTTTCATAAGAGCTTCATGTTAAATTTTCAAGTGTTTTGAATCAGTAGGACTAAAGACAACTCTGTAATTTTGTTCTCAAAACATGCTCTAAGTGCATGTAAAACTGGTGAAATCTAAATAAGGTCTGTGGATTAGGCCAATGTCAGTTTTCTAGTTTTGATATTGCACTGTAGTGATGCAAGATGCACTTGGAGAAACTAGGTGAAGAGTGCATGGGATGTCTTTGTATTACTTTTGCAACTCCCTTTGAAGCTATGTAATTTCAAAATAAAAAACTAAAAAAAAGGTGCTCTATACTTTGTTACTTATCAATTTATATAGTAGAACCTTAGTTTTGTTCTTTGATTTGACTCCATTCCTTTCCAATTCTTCTCTGCTCCAAACCCTATGTGTATGTACAGAGATTGATTTACTTGTTTCTTTGCTTTCTAAAATAATTCTTTCCTTAGTCTCACAGTCCTTAAATCTTGTTTCACATATATCAAAAGAGATATTTTAATAAATAGTACAATACAGTATAATATTGTGATAAGAATTACAGATTCTATTAAAAATCTGTTTAAATCATTTGTTCAATTCTTCAAAAATGTAACTAGGAAATAAAGTACTATCATCTGCATGCTTATGGGTCCCAGGCCTGGCTGGTCCCAGGTCTGGCTGTGATCCAGGCTCGCGGCTAGGAATAGGACCCTGGATTTAGAATGTTACATTAGTGAGCAGGGCGCCTGCGCCTAAAATATGTAAACATAATTCAACTTACTGTATCACACATGTGTGGCTGAATGCCACTATTGTACTCCGCTATAGCCATGTGGTCCCCTGGAGAACAGAAGGGGAGCAGAAGAACAGAAGCAGAAACCCACTCCTTGCAATAGACTGCACTTCCCCCAATAGAACTGTGCTCCCCACAATAAAGTTGGTGTGGGCCATTTCATTTTCATGTCGGCCTCTTGTGCATTCTTCCAACTGGGCATCTCACCACCGAAACCTTCCCTTCTCGACCAGCTTGGCACTGACAATGCTGTATTTGTGAACTTCAACTGTCTTCCTAAATTTTACTTCTTGGTAGCCCTATTCTAGCCAAGGTATATATTACTACTAGTTTCAACTGGGATCTTAGAAAAAACATTACAAGTTAAATAAGATGTTGGCCCCCATTTAGCCAACACACTGCACCATATACTGTATTGGCCCTGGAAAATTAACCAGGAAGGGAACACACTGCACCATATACTGCATTGACCCTGGAAGCCAATACAGTATATGGTGCAGTGTGTTCCCTTCCTGGTTAATTTTATCAGAGAGCAGCCGCAGGCAGTTTCAACATGAACTAATCACACAAAATGCTATAATATCTTCCAATGCACCTTTGGGGTCCTTACTAATCTCACAGAACACTCCCCTGTTTTTCCTCTTAAAAATGACATCTTATTCTTTATATACATGTGAATTTCATGTCATGTGCAAATATCCATTTGATGATTTAATGCATATTCATTAGAATTATATAAGTAAAAATATCCAAATAGCTTAATGGCTATAAATTAAACCATTTTTAGTAAATTAAACCAGGTCATTTGGTAGAAGCAATATTCATTTAATCCATTACTACATGCTAATTATAGACACATGAAAAATTTACCAAGATTTACAATGTAGAAGAACCTTTTGGAATATAACCCTAAACTGAATTACATAAAAAGTATTATACCTGAGCAATGATTTGTTCTCCATCATTGTATACTTTGGTGCCTATCACATCTACCACTTTCAGGCGTTCAGAAACCTACAAAGGGAAAAAAAAGACAACGTTAAACAGATTAATTGGGTAATCTTACTTATTTCAGAGATGTAAAAATTGGTAGCCCACAGGCCAAATACACTGAGCAGTGTGTGGTTTTATGTGTTACAGTAATTATCAGCCAGCATTTTAAAATAAATTTCTCATAAAAATTTCAATTCCCAGCTTCTCTTGAAAAATCAGGAGATTGAGCGACACTCAGCCCATATTACATGGCAACAGTAAGCTATGGTGGAATAGCAGTTGTTTCTTTAGATAAAGCACATGTTCTCTAGTTTACCAAAGCCCCTACTGGCTTGGTTTTCTTCTTTATGTTACTTGCCTAGCTCTGAAGGCATGTGAATTTCCAACCCCCCCGATCTATTTTTATTTAAAGAGAGATGCTGCTAGAGAAGATGAGCTGCCTAATATGCATTCTGTAATGTGGCCAAAATTTCTGCCAGGCACATACTGACAATACAATAAAGAGATATTTCAGTAGATGAGTCAGTACTAACCCCAAGGATTTTGGCTGAGATGCTAGAAGGACTAAGATGGGGAAGAAAGGGGAGGAGAAAATTTAAGATGTGTTAGGTCTGAGGTGTCTATTAGGTGTTTGAGAGGAAATGTTAAATATGCAGTTAGTAAATGATCTGGCATTCAAGGAAGGGTTCTCGCCAAGTGATGTCAATTTTAAAACGCATCAACTTACAGTATTTAAAGCCAGGGGATTTGAAAAGTTCATCAAGTGAATAAGAGTAGCCTAAAAAAAGAAAATACTCTGGAATGCCAATTTTAAGAGAAAAGGAGAAGAGGCCAGTGAGGACATTGTGTATTTAGATAACCTCTCCCTGAAAAGGTATTCTAATGGCTATTGCTGACACGTGACTTTTTTAAGTCTGCTTTGAGATAAAGACAGCATATAATTCTGCTATAGATACTCACAGGAGCATCTATACTTGTAAACAATAAAACTTACTATTACTTGTAAACAACAAAACAAATGCAATTATATGTAGTAAAAGAAATATTGAGTTATACAAACACTATAATTTTTTAAATGAAAATATGGATAGATTTTTATTCAAAGAAACTTTTGTGTAGAAGTAAACATTCCTAACAAAATAAAAGCTTTGAAAGCAAAATAAAGCATAAATATATACTTACTTCCAAAGATTTAAGGAATGGCAGTGACTCAATAAAGCTTTCATACATTTTTCTTTTTTTGGCATTATTTTTTACAATTATTCTTCTGAAGGTTACCCTGTCCTAAAAGGCAGAATATCAAATACAAAGACAATTAAAAGGGAGATTTTATGAGGGAAAAAAGTTTAAAGAGATAGTTTCATTTTATTCCCTATAAGGAACAAACGATTGAAGATTTTGAAACAAAGATTAACAATATTATACCATTAATTAAACCAGTTTCAGATTTTTATTTCTTCAAGCATAAAATATAGAACCATATAAAATATTGTTTTCATTTTTTTAAAGGAAGCATCAGTTTACTTTTATTCAGGACAGAGCTCTGAACACCACATAATTAGGCTAAACCCACGAGGTGGCGCTGTCACACCATTTTAAAAACTAGATACTATTACCGTATTTCCCCCCTCAGCTTTATTGAGATATAACCGACCTATAATGTTATGTAAGCTTAAGGTATACAATGTATGGATTTGATATATATTGTGAAATGACTACCACAGCAGGGTTAGCTAACACTTCTATCACCTGACATAATTACCATTTATTCTTTGTGGTGAGAACATTTAAGATTTATTCTCTTAGCAATTTTCAAGTATGTAAATACAATATTAACTATAATCCCCATGCTGTACATTCGATCCCCATAATTTATTCATCTTATAACTGGAAGTTTGTACCCCTTGACCAATAACTCCCCATTCCCCCACCCCTCAGCTGCTAGCAACCATTTTATACTGTTTCTATGAGTTTGAACTAGCACCCAGTTCTTTTACTGGGGATGACAGCCCCAGACTGTTATAAAATTGACTCTCTAAGACATGACCAACATTTTTTTTTTGAGGTATAGACATATATTAGTTTCAGGAGTACAATATAATGATTTGCTATTTGTATATATTGTGAAATGATCACCATATTAAGTCTAGTTAACATCCGTCACCTACATAGTTACGAAACTTTTATTCTTCTGATAAGAACTTTTAAAATCTACTCTCTTAGCAAGTTTCAAATGTACAATACAGTTCACTACAGACACCATGCTGTGCATTATATCTCCAGGACTTTTTATTTCATAACTGGAAATTTGTACCTTTTGACTCCCTTCACCCAAGACCAGCATTTTTATAAAAAATAAAATAGAACAGAAAATAGCATGTGTCCCTTTTAGTAAAGTGATTTTTAGTAATATATTTACACACAAACACATACAAACTTATGCACTAGTTGTGATGTTTCCTAATGTGTTTATATGGGCTACGGTAAAAAAAAATATATATATGGAAAACACTATTAGAAAAATTTTTTAAATCATAAAGCAATTATAATGTAAGAGTTCTTGGAAAATTTTTTGGGTCACATCTACATTACGTCAGTTCTCTGTTTTAAAAATGTGCATAAAGAAACTATAGCTTCTTGAGTAAAGTCTAATTCCAGTGTTTATTTCATGCTCATCGTTTTAAATTGTTCCTATGTTTATACTACTTAACCTCAAAAATACAGAACTGAATTAAGAGACTAAAGAAATTTTAAAGATAACTCGAAAAATGTGTTTTCTATAAGTTTTATTTTGCAAATATTCCTACAAAACATTATTTTAGTTCTTAGTAAAGAGCCCCCAGAATTATGTTAGTTTGACATACACTGATGATACCATTTTAATATAAAATATAAAAACTGGGATATGTTCATTAACTAATTACTATGCCAACGTATTAAGGCTGAATTGAAATGAACTGGAGAAGGATGGAGAAAAATGCCGGTGTATCTGGGAGATGAAACATCCTGTTCTCCAATTTAGTTTATTACAACTTTATAAGGGCTGTAATTTGTATTCGTGCTATTTTTTTTTAAAAAAAAAAAAGTTTTACAAGGTAATTAGAAAAATAGTTTTTAAATTTCCAAGCTTGGCTCTGCATCAGAATCAGCTGTACTTTTTTAAAAAAAAAAAAAAAGTTTCTTGAGGTTCCAGACTTTAATGACTCAAAATCTCGGCATGTAGGGCTCAATAACAGATCAGAGCTCCGCTACAGAAGTACAGATATAAAGCAAATCCTAAGAGAAAAGTCCTTTATAGACTAGTTTAACTTTGCAAATAATACTCAGTGACAGTTAACCTTAGAGAATTAACTGATCTACATGACCATGCTGATGATTCAGAGGCGACTACTGAAATGACTAGGATAAAAACATTTGAAATGGGACCTTCTGAATTACATTTATATGTCACAATGGGTATGAAGAGGTGAGCCACTAATAGAAATATTTTCCTGACACATATAGCTCATTGTGGTTATTTTTTAAATTGCTAAACTATTTCTAGTCTTCTCTGTTTTGTAGTAAACTCCGCCCATAAAATGTTGTTGCAGCTGGTTCCCAAACCTGATTCTGTATCAGAATCACTTGAGGAGCTTTTATGAAATATAGGTTATTGAGGCCTTAAAAGAAAAATTTTTCTACTTCCCTGAAAAGAGGCTAGTTAGGCAAACTGTTCTTTAAAAGTAGGTCTTCAGTATTGATTGATTATATTATTCTATTTAAAAAAGCTATTGCACCAACACACATACCCCAAGGTGATCATCACAAACTGTCCACTTTTATAAAGTTTAATAACATACAGATTAGTAAAAATCTCTGAAAAATGCTTGATCCTTCTTGAAAGCTTAAGTATCACGCACTCTGGGAAACGCTGGGCCTTTATACCTGCTTTATGGCTTCGACCAGGGCTTAAAACTATCAATACTCAAAGGAGTCGACCAGATGCATGTGTGATCTCGAGCCTACGATTTGCAAGCAGGAAGTTTCCTTACCATGAGATAATCTGACCCTGGCTGGTAACCCCACTATGAGGGTTAATTTTTTAAATGCTACTCCTTAATGAAACAAGTCATGGCCGACTCTAGCTTTACCTGCTGCTCTGATGACAGGCAAATACTACCTATGGACCAAGTCTGCAATGGTTTAGAGTTTTTGCTGGCTTTGGATATTCAAATCTTTGATAGTTCTTACAACACTTCAGATGATGAATTTCCCTCCACCTGAAACAATTCCAGTTATTCTTCAACAACTTAAAAGGTGACTCATCACATTTTTAATAAGTAAACAGTAACTGCCTGGTTCTAATAAGAAGAAATGTACACTATGTCTTATTCCTCTGATCGAGCATATTTTTATCAGCTGAATCCCCTTCAGAGTCAAATGCTGAGTCGTGATTGAATAATGTGTAACTTCTGTAAAGCTACAGTCCTCGGAAATGAGATTGTTAACATGATTCATATTATTTCAATCTCTTCTCCTTCCACAAAGGAGTTCAGAGAAATAACTGGATAAATGCATGTCAAAACTTTAGGGTGGGTTGTTTTTAACAATTTTAAAAGAAAATACAAATATTGTAAACATTCTCTTAAATCAGTGTTGCTGAGTATTCTGGACACCAGCAGCATTGGTGTCTCATGGGAGCTTATGAAAAATTCAGAGTCACAGGCCTTGTCCCAGATTCACTGAATCAGAATCTGCATTTTAACTAGATTCCCAGGTGATCTGTAATCTGAGAATCACGAGCTTCCAGAATCAGCTTTACTAGTGCCCGCTACTCTGCTTCCTGATTATTATCTGTGAAAGGACTCTCTCTCCCTACCTCACTCAAACATCTCTAAACCAACTTTTAAGTCTTGTAGAAATACCACCTAAGTCCTAGAGCATCTGATTAAATTTATCTGTGGTAAAGCCTTGGCAAGAGGATTTTTTTTTAAACACCTCCCCCTGCCTCCCGGCCCAAGTAATTCTGATATGCATCCAAATGAGAGGCACAGGCATCAGGTAATTTTTTTTTTTTTTTTGCAAAGCAGCTTTTCAATGCAAAGTTTTACCAATCAATTTATACCACACCAAGAGAATCAGTTTATAGTGGTTACTCAAACTCTATCATGCATCAGAATCACTTGGCAGGCTTGTTCAAATATAGATTGCTAGGATCCATCTCCAGAGTTTCTCATTTAGTGGGCCAAAATCAATAAGTGGAATCCCAGAATTTGCATTTCTTGCAAGTTTCCAGGAGATACAGATGCTACTGGTAAGGAGACCACACTTTGGGAACCACAGATTATATAATACTAAACACAGAAAGCTCTCTGAGAAAATAGCACTGAGAGCTTTGGTTGTTTGTGTGGCTAGCTAGTTAAGAGTGGGTAAAAGATGACCATTTTGGAGCTGAGTGTCTTTCCAGGGCCAGTACATTAGGCGCCTGACTTTACTAAGGAAGCAGAACAGAGAGAGTTCAACTCAGCACAGTTGTAGTGCCCAACATTTCAGCATCCAGTAGTTGCTTCATAAAATCCCCAGTGCCTGGTGATGACCCCAAATAAATCTACCTATTAGAACTAAAATACTGGCTTTTGTCACAATGCTTTATAACATTCAAGTCAAAGAAATATTTCACTCACCAAACCCCACAGAGCACCTGGAGAGGTAGCAGTGATTGTGGCTGCTCTGGGTGTATTGTACATTAAGGCCAGTTCACCGAAACTCCCACGATTATCGTAGTTACCAACACATCTTCCAACACCATCACATTTTACATAAATATCATATGTTCCTCTGTTGGACACAGGAAAAAAAAGAGATAAAAGTAATTCAAGTAAAATTTCATTACAAAAAAATCTAGTTTCAGAGGAGAGTCCTGTGCAATAAAATCGCATTCCCAGCCTCTGTTTCCCCTCTGATGACAATAAGCAATAAAAGGGCATTGATGTGTCAGAGACACCATCTGTTACAGACGAGTATGAAGAGACCACCCATCAACTAGACCAGAGTAAGGACCGTACATGTACCTACTGGGGAATATGAGGCAAAACCATAAAAATGTAAGATAAATGATAAAAATATAAGAGAGCAACCAAATAATATATGCATAGGCAACCATCTGAAAGAATGTATATGAAAATGTGTAAGAATAATGAAGGATTCCAGGGACATTAACTATATAATTAAAGAGTTTCTGTTTCTAAAATAAACAAGTACTACTTTTGAGACCAGAAGAAAATAATTTTTTTAAAAATATATAGCTTCAACAATTTGGTCAGCCACTATTATATAGTACTTGGGAGGGTCCTTTATAATCTAAAGGATGGGCTGGCAAGCTGTGGCCCACATACCCAACCGCCTGCTTTCGTAAAGTTTTATTTGAACCCAAACACACTGGTTTATGCATTATCTATAGCTTATTTGTGTAAAACATCAGAGTTGAGTAGCTGCAAGAGAGCACATAGTCCACAAAGCCTAAAAAATTTACATATTTATGTCATCTGACCCTTTATTTTCAATCAACCCCCTATCTAATTATAAAAGTAAAAAGTGACAGAAATCCAGACTTAATATCTGAACCTGTTTTTTAAAAATAGTTTCTCTGTGTTTATCTTTTAATTGGAGTTCTTTTTCTAAGCAAATAAGCCTCAGTGTGCATGCCTCTGCACTACATATTGTCCAGACAGTACATTTATATGAACTACATTCTTCTTGTAGAGGACTGTCTTTCCATATACTGCATTTAATCAGAGAACATGGTTTCAAGGCTTGTTGAAGAACCTGTGAGGGCAAAGAGGTGAAACACCAGTTTTATCCTATTGGTTAAACCCTCACAAAGACGAAAAGGAAGTGTTTTTACTAAAAATGGATTATAAATGGTAAAAATACAATAAAAGCAAAAACAAGCTAATAGGTAAAGGTAGTATTGAATAAGGAAGAGAATAATTGGTTTTGAACAAAATTCATGGGTAGAATGGCTATTTCAGGGATACCGTCTAGAATTTGTTTCATGAATAATTATTTTTCAAGTATAGATTAATTCTTCTATCTATGCTATTTACACTTTTGTGCATCAAAACTGTTCTCTACATTTTCTACCTTAAATAAGGTAAAATATACAACAAATGTACTGACGAGAAGTAAAATGAGCTACTGTCCAGTTAAAATCACATGAATCTAAAATCTAATAAAATACTGTGTGCTGCTTTTCTATGTAGATTCCTTCCATGATAATGTGAGGCCTCAGGCAGTGCAGAGTCATGGAAAGAACACAAACTGTGGCCAAGAGACTTGGCTGTGGGGTTGGCTATGCAATAATCATCTGGGTGAACTTAAGCCCACTCACATCACTTCTCTATGCCTGAGTTTTCATCCATCAAATGGATGATTAGGATCTACCTGAAAAGGATGTACTATATACAAATGTAAGACAATTTTTATAGTTCAAAATACCTACTAAAAGAAGATTAATCCTGTGTTGTATTTGGGGTTCTCATAGACTCCCACAATTAATATAATTAAATAGTTGAATGACTTTATGAAGTGTTTCACTTGATGAAAGCTGTTAATGATATCAAAACCATGACTTTAATTTACATATGAGACAACCCTTTCTGTTCTATTCTAAAATCACAGAGTCCACCCCTGCCCTGGCTAGTGCCTTGGCAAAAGCTCTCTAAGTCACCAAGGCATTCAGGATGAGGGAATGGGGCAATCAGTGAAAACTCTTGATTCAGAGAGCATGCATTACTCTCTGAAGAGCGTAGATCAAGAAATGAGGACTAAGTAGACAGTTGGGGAGTAGTTTTCTACAAGGCTTCTAAGTTGAACACAACTCTACACAGAGAAGCAAATGGAATCCAATCAATCAGGCTGGGAGAGTATCTGAATTCCACACAAAAGAGGAGGGGCTGGGGATACCAACTGCCTCATAAACACTTCACTATCACATTACAAAAGTGAAGAAATACTCAGTTCAGACTGATCCCCTATTACACTTTAGGACACTTAATTATTGCTTAAAGCATACTTAAAGGATAAAGCTTTGAAACAGAACACAACTTAAGTTTTCTGAAATTAGCTTTTTAATGTAAATGCATGCCTTCTCATTTAAATAAAATTTCTCTACAGAATTTTAAAAAGACAAATATAACAACAACAAATATAGAATTTGTAAAAGACAAAGCATAAAGAATTTCTGGAAGGACACATAAACTACTCACTCAACTAACTGGATGATGCTGAAGCAGTAGGAAGAGAAACTGACTTTTTACCGTATGCCCCTTTGATTTTTTTTAAACCATGAGCATGTTTTGCTTTATAGTTAATAAAAGAAGAACCTCTTTAAAAAGATAACTAATTGAGTTATACTGGGATTTAATATCCCAGGTGCCGTATTATGCTTCTAATTCTCACTGTAATAGGCATCTATTACATACTACCTCTCAAATAGAAGTTAACGAAGAGGCTCACAGTGACTGAGCTGTACAGATTGAACTAACCAAAAATAAACAGTTCTCCTATAAATCATGCCTCTTTTCATGATCTAGTCTGGTTTTACTGCATGCATTCACAGCAGGTTTACATGCCTATTATGTACTAATAAGAGTAAAGAGGCAATAGCAACTGTTATCTATTAACTTGTCAGTCATTATAATAACCACTGAGATTAAACACAAAAGGTTCGTTACATTTCAGTAGTGAAGTTATGCAAAACTTACCTATCGATTACATAAAAGTTGTCACCATCATCACCTTGATCGATTACATGTTCCCCTTCTTTGACCAATTTTTCAAACATGGCATCTAATACTTGAGACATCTGCTCCTATTTTTTTTTAAACAAAAGATATAATCTTTGTTTATCTAGAACATTTTTTCTTAAGTAACGATAATTCATTTTGTATTCTGTGAACAAGTGCAAAGAAATGGAAATACCATCATTGCTTTTAAGTCTTGTCAAAAAATACACAGTACAGTCTTTCTAACCACATACAAATGAGAATTATATATTTACTCTTATATTCAGTATCTAAATGAACATAATTATAAATAGGCTATGTCAGAATATTTGTAATTATTACCATTTTAATAAGAAAAATAGCCACCAAACCGCCATATACCTTGTGAAATATAATATTAGCAACTAAAATGACCAGGTTAGTAAAGAACTACTGCAAATGTCTTTTAAAAATATGTTTTTACAACTTCCCTATATTAGTCATCACTAGAATTTATATAAAGATTACCTAAATAGTTAGCGAATTCAAATCCTAACTCCAATCATTTTTGGTTTAGCACCAAAAACAAAACAAAAATAAAAGCAAAATAAATAATGACTATGGCAAATATTCTATCACTATTCTTTGTTACTAAGGTTCTCTTCAAGAAGAAACCATTTAATTCTCTAGGGCAGATTTATTAAAACTGAAGCCAGAAACATCAAATCCATTATCCAAAAGCTATGTAAAATATATAAAAATCTGATTCTGCTAAAATGTGGTTGATGAGGCTTGATTGAGAATAAACTTCAGCTAGTGAGAACAAACTAGGAGGTTAAAGAAATCCTTCCTCAGAACACAGAAAGAAACAATTCAAAAGTCTTAGAACAAATGGATATGGAGAAACAGCGTGGTGCATCGTAATAGAAAAATAAAAAGCCTTAAAAGGGTTATTTTCTTTACCACTTATTAGCTCTGAACATTTGATCAAGTCACTCACTCTCCATGAGTATAAAAGGGTACAACACTAACTGCCCAGGACAAAATCAATTATTATAAGGAGCTGAAGATAGATTGGGGGTGGGGAGGAGATGCAAGTGGAAAACGCATGCTGAAGAAACAAGATATTCTGCTTCAAAAACATGAATCGACCACATCTGATTCTCTTCTTTTTGAGACCCTGTTAACACTTCATAGAGAATATGACAGTATGAATCCACAACAATATAGAGTGTGGGAAAGGGAAACTGATGGAGAGATTTCTAGAGCAAAGGTGAGGTAAATGGGGGAAAGAGAAAGGGTGCAGCCCAAAGTAGGATAGATGGGGTCAGCCACCTGTCAGAGCACCAGGAGGCTGGGAAACACCTGGTTCAGTCAAGATGCGTCTGAGACACAGCTGAAAACAAGTGGACTGATTCAAAGTCATAATCACTTGATACCTTCCAAATGCCACCACCCTGAACAAAGAATGCCTAGCAACCAAATACTGACCCCAACTCTTCCCAGACAAAAGATTAGAGTCAGGTTTTTGGCAGAAACTAAACAAATTAGAGAAAACTAGAACAGCTACTGTGAATACTGGTGCCCTAGAACAAGGACCTTCACTTGCTGTCGTTTAGGGGTAACAGCTGACATGTAACAGCTGACTCCCTGGCCACTCTATCTGAACAGTTAGTACATTGGTTGGCCTGCCTTACTTGGAGCTCCAAGTCAGCTTTGTGTTGCCTTTCTGGTAGGCTACACAACTAAGATAAACAGCAAAATAACACTAGATGAGACAGACAATTCAGGAACAGTAAGAGAGCTTTTAGTAAATTCTACTCTGTATATCCAGAGATATTCAGGATGATATCATATCCATGAGATGAAAAAGTAAATCAGAGAAAAATGAGTAAGTTGGAAATTAAAAACATGATTGCCAAGATTTTCTTCTTCCTTTTAAAATTTTCTTTTTAAAGCAATGTTAGGTTCACAGCAAAACTGAGCAAAAAGTATAGAGTTCTTTCTCATATACCCTCTGCCTCATCCCCAAGCCTCTCCCTACTATTATCATCCCCCACCAGAGGGTACATTGGTTACAACGGATGAACCTACACTGACACTCATTCTCACTCAAAGTCCACAGTTTCCATTAGAGTTCACTCTTGGTGCTGTACACTCTGAGTTTTGGCAAATGTATAATGACATGTACCCATTGTTACAAAATATTTTTAAAAGTAAATCAAAGAGTAAGAAAATAGAAAACCTCAAAGAAAGTTGATAAAGACATGAAAAGACAAGAGTTCCAGAGAAAGTAAAAATAGAGACAATAAAGGGGAGAAAATAATCAAGGAAATATGGGATGAATTTTCTAGAACCAAAGGACATAAGTTCTCATACTGAAAGGGCACATTCAAGTGCCCGGAACTATCAACGACCAAAAACTCCACCTTAACTTGTCAATGTGGCTTTAGAACACCAAAGATAAAGAACAGATCTGCAAAGCTTCCAGCAAACAGAGGAAAGAAGCTCTTAAAAATACAAAAAGACGTTGAACTTCTTTGAGAATAAAGAGAAACGCAAATTAAAACTGAAATGAGATAACCACTTTTCATCTGTCAGATTCAAAAAGATAAAAATGTTAGAATAACATACTGTATTGGAAATGGTGTGGGAAAGAGGTATTCTCATACAGACTGCTGATGGGGAGGTAAAAATGGAACAAATTACAGAGGGCGATCTGTCAATTTTTGATAAAATTTCAAATATGCACACCCTTCACTTCATTTTTTTTCTGGTACGTTATTCTATAGATATATGTGAAAAGATGTGCACAGGCATTTTTCATTGCAGCAAAATACAGCAAAAATTTGGAAAAAAATGAATGTTTACCTACAGGGCACTGGATAAATAAGTTTCCAATCCATGCATTGGAAAGCTATGCAGCTATAAAAAAAGAATGTGAAGATTCTAAGACATCTATCTTTCATTGGAGTCACTGAGAGAGCACTCAAGGGTAATCAGGAAATCTGAAAACCTGCCACAGGGGGAAAAGTTCAGGGAACTGGGGGCATTTAGGTGAGAGAAAAGTAGGCCTGCTTGTGAACACATCTGCTATCTTCTGTTACCCTGATGATGCTGGTGATTCTAGACGCCACAACTGGAACTGCTGAGTGGACATTTCTTAGAAACTTCAGTACAAATGTTAAACACCTGCCCGAGAAATAACTGTCTAGAGTGGCACAGGCTGCCCTGCAGAGAGACAAGCTTCTTGTAGCTTGAGGGAAGTATTCGAGGCAGGCTTTCCATCTTCCATGTGCTGTTGAAATGGCTCAGTGTTTTTCAAACTGTGTTTTGTGGAACCCTGGGACTTTGTGAAGGTGTTCCAGTGATTCTTTAAACAGCTGATTTAATTGCATTCTTAAAGTGTGTTCAACCATTAAATATTAAAACTAATGGAAATCAAAATGCTCAGATTACATATATAATTTTTTTAGGTAAAATTTCACATAACATAAAATTAAACATTTTAAAATGAACAATTAAGTGGCCTCAAAGTTGTACAACCATCACCTACCTCTATGTAGTTCCAAAAAACTTTCATTGCCCCAAAGGAAATCCTGTACCCATTAGTCACTTGCCATTCTCCCCTCCTATTGGCCCCTGGCAACACCAATCTGTGTTCTGTCTTTATGGATTTACCTATTCTGGATATTTCATATAATAGAGTCATATAATACATGATCTTTTCTGTCTGGCTTATTTCACTCAGCATAAGGTTTTTGAGATTCGTCTCTCTTGTGGCATGTATCATACTTAATTCCTTTTTTATGGATGATTTATACACACACACCACAAATTGCTGATTATGCCATCACACTTGGGTTTATTGTACATAATGTGGTTATTGGCTATTGTGAATAATGCAGCTATAAACATTTATATATAAGTATTTGTTTGAATATCTGTTTTGAATATTTTAGGTCTATATCTAGGGGTGGAATTGCTGAGTCATATGGTAATTTCATGTTTAACTTTTGAGAAACTGACCAAGTTGTTTTCCACAATGCCTGATTCATTTTACTTTCCCACCAGCAATTCATTAGGGTTCCGATTTCTCCAAGCCCTAACACTTATTTTCCTTTTTTAAAAAAATTATACCCATCGTATTGGGGGTGAAGTGTTATTTCACTGTAGTTTTGATTTGCATTTGCCTAATGACTGACTAGGTTGAGAATCTTTTCATGTGCTTAGTAGTCATTTGTGTATCTTCTTTGGAGAAATGTCTATTCCAATACTTTGCCCACTTTAAGTTGGGTCTTTTGTCTTTTTGTTCTTGAGTTTTAAGAGTTCTTAATATATTCTAGATACTAGGCCCTTATAATACATATGATTTGCAAACATTTTCTCCCATTCCATAGGCTGGCTTTTCACTTTTTTTTTTTATAATGTCCTTGCTTCACAAAATTTTTTATTTTTTACGAAGTCCAATTTATCTTTTATCTTTTTTTTTTTGTGTGGGTTTGGAAAAGAATTTTTTATTTTTATTTTTTTAATTAATT